AGAAGAAGAAGAAGAAGAAGAAGAAGAAGAAGAAGAAGAAGAAGAAGAAGAAGAAGAAGAAGAAGAAGAAGAAGAAGAAGAGGAAGAGGAAGTGAAGAAGGTGATAAACTAAGAGGAAGGAAGGCATATGGGAGTTGTGGGATGAAAAAGAAAATAGGATACTGCAGTTAAGGCTTCATCTAATAAAAAACCATCCTTTTCGTGTATGTAATAAGCCAGATACCTTTCCAGAAACCAAGGACATGTCTGTGAGTATGACATTGAGGATCTTCTATCACAGAACCTACACTGTATTTGACTAAAATGAAATAAGTAAACAAATTCACATCTAAAATGGTTTCCCATCTAAAATGGTTTCACATGCTGTGAGGTACTTGTCAAGAAAACAGCACAGGGTATCACAGACTGGACAAAGGCAGTGACTGGCCAGAGAAGGTCTATGAACAAAGACCTGCAAGCCCCAGGAACAGGAACTTATGTGGAGCAGAGAGCAGGGAAGCCTGCATTATGCTTTCTCAGATCACAAAGTGGGTCAGTGTGTGGAGCAGCAGGTGAGAGACACAAAAGTGTTGAGTCTGGAGCTGCCACGAGGTCCAGATTGTCGTCAGGTGAGGTGAGGATCTTGGGTATTATTTGAAGTGCTAGAAAAGATGAACAGGGTTGGATAAACAGGAAGGACAGGGCTGCTAGAAAAGATGAACAGGGTTGGATAAACAGGAAGGACAGGGCGGGAGAGCACAATATTGACTGAAGTTTCAAAACTTCACGCACGTGGCTGAGCTTTCAAACATATTCAGCAGTAGTTGATCAAAACAAAACAAAACAGGTAGTGTAGACTGCTGGCTTGGCCCCCTGTCAGGCAAAGGAGGGTATCTGCGCTGACCCTGCTCCCAAATATGTAAATTCTTTTCCATAGTTTATTCATCTTCAAATCCCCAGGGGAACCTTGCGTCTGGCCCCCAGAGGTGAAACACACATTCCAACAATGCTTGAGTTAACAAATGGCCTCTGAGAGCCGAGTGAGGTGGCATAGGAGACAGGTGGATCCCTGTGAGTTTAAAGTCAGCCTGGTCTAGGGAGCCTAGGGAGTTCCAGGACTGCCAGGGGCTACGTAGAGAGGCCTTGTCTCAAAAAGCTAAAATCCAAACCAAAACAAAATAAATGACTACTGTGGCTCTGTGAATAAATGGGTTCAGCTGTGAGCTCTGACACAGTGGAGGTCAGTGAAACTTTGGTGTTTCATAGTCACAAATCAGTTACACTGGAGTCACAGCAATTAGAACATAGCATGTATTTATTTAGCCAGTGCCTTCTGCCACAGCAAAGTCTAGGTAACTCTGTGTTTGCAGTCCAGTACAAATCTGCTACCAATTAGAGAGCTGCATCAAGAATTACCAACATAAGGCAAACTCATTGTCTCATCAACACACACACACAAGAAGCAGTCACAACTCCATAAAAATGAGAATATAGAATTACAATTAAGACTAGGCTTTCAGGAGATGGAAGGATGGCTCAATGGACACACCCAGATGTGCATTTCCATGATGACTCCATGGTTCCAACAAGTTGAAAATGGAGATTAATGGTCACGGTCACATCCTCCAAAAATGTATATCTCAGTTCTGATGTGTGTGATGATCCCAGGTGCCTTATTTCATCCTCAAGAGTCAGAGATGTCCCAATTATCTTCCATCTCTACACGTATCATTATTCCTTTTTATTATGCTTTTCCTATCAAATTATTACGTGATTGTTTTTTCTGTCCTCATTGGACCCGGATGAATACGATATGAAATACGGGTATCTATAAAATATAGCATAAAAGTCATTATACACAAATTTACCAATTGATAACAAAGATGCTAGTAGTTGCTATCAATTCAAAGAGAATTTAAAATTACTCAGTTAAGAAAACTTAAATGACCCGAGATGCTCATAGCCCACTGAGACTATGAGACTCTCCCTATAGGTTTATAGATTTCATCACTTGCTATCTTGCTAGTGGCACTGTTTGTGGAGGTTTAAAAAGTGCGATTTTGTTGGAGGAAGTATGTCACTGGAGATGGGTTTAAAGACTTGTGCTGTCTTAGCCGGTGTTCTACTGATGTGACCATGGCAGCTTTTATAAAGGAAAGCATTTAATTAGGGCTTGCTTACAGTTTCTGAGGTTTAGTGCATTGCCCTCATAGAGGGAAGCATGGTGGCATGCAGGCAGGCATGGTAGTTGAGAGTTCTATATCTAGATCCTAAAGCAGCAGGAAGAGAGAGCCACCGGACCTGCTTGGGCTTCTGCAACCCCAAAGCCCACCCCCAGTGATACACTTCCTCCTACAAGGCCACGCCCCCTAATCCTTCTCAAGCAGTGCTACTCCCTAATGATCAAGCATTCAAATCTGTGCCCTATGGAGACATTCCAATCCAAACCACCATATGTGCAATTTCCAATTGTTCTCCATGTTTCATGTTTGTGGTTCAAGAGGTCAGCTCTCAGATTCCTGTTCCAGCTACCATTGCTGCTGACATGCCTCCCTGTCATCATGGTGATGGATTCTTTTCCCTCTGAAATCACAAGCCCACACGAATTCTTCCTTCTATAAGTTGCCTTGGTCAGGGTGTCTTGTTACAGCAATAGAAAAGAAACATAGATACTTATAGAGTGTTTCCCAAATTTAGCACCAATTCTAAAAGTTCACACAGCTTTGTTAATAAATATTACATGACTGAAAAGAAAGTTTTCTCTTTTTTTAATAATTTATTTAATTTTATTTTATGTGCATTGGTGTGAGGGTGTCAGACCACCTGGAACTGCTTACAGACAGTTGTGAGCTGCCATGTGGGTGCTCGGAGTTGAACCTGAGTCCCTTGGTAGAGCAGACAGTGTTCTTAACCACTGAGCCATCTCCCCAGCTCCAAAAGAAAGTTTTCTAAAATACAATAAAACAAATGTTGCTTATTCATGTGGGAGAAAATGTCAAAGTATCTTTTCATTCTCCCCAGTTAGAAATTATTGTGAAATGTGGTGAAATAATTTAAAGGGGCAATCAAAAAAGGTATATATATATATATATATATATATATATATATATATATATATATACATACATATATATGTATACATGCATATGTATATATGTACATATATATATATATAAATATGGGTGGGAGCCAGGGAGTAGAATATGGTCTGAATGAGAATAGTCCCAAAGGCTCTTGTTTGAATACTTGGTTCCCCAGTTGGTGGAATCTTTTAGGAAGGATCAGGAGGGGTTGTGGCCTGTTAAAGGAAGTGCGTTACTAGGGTGGGCTTTGAAGTTTAAAAGACTCCTGCCTTTTCCCATGTACTCTCTCACTGCTGCTTGCAGTTTGAGAGATGAGCTTTCAGCTCTTCCATCTTCCATGCTGTCATCATTATCTCTAACCTCCAGGAAATGTAAGCCCAATTAAATGTAAGTGGGGTAGAGGTGGAAAGATGGTCTAGTACCAAGAGTATTGACTGATTTTCTGGAGAACCTGGGTTCAATTCCCAGCACCTATATGGGGGCTCACAACCGTCTGTAACTCCAATTCCAGAGATTTTGATGCCTCCTCCGGACCAACATGGATACTGTATGCAAGTGGTACACAGATGTGCATATAGGCAACACACACACACATACATCAAGTAATTAAAAAGAAAAATATTTAAAGGCAAGAAAGAATGATGGGTGTGCCCAGCAATTACTTAGGTTATTATGATACAGTCTGGATTTCATGTTTTTGGTAGCTGTGATCTCTTCAAACTTTGCAATCTATTGAGATTTCTCTTCTTATGAGCAGATACTTACTTGCATAGCCAACATTTTATTCAACTTTATGTCTCCTATTTCTTTAAAAGTTCTGCCAATGGTACGATGTTATCCTGAATATGGGGCTGGCCCCACTCACCTTCTTATCCTTAGGCTGTGCTGAGAAAGCTGTCTGGACCAGTTCTCAGTAGGAAATGTCAGCCCATCCTATCAGGGCCTGTACTGAAAATACACTCTGTGCCTTTGGACTCTATGGAGAAGAAGAAAAATGCTGTTTGTCTTGATGAATCAAATTCTAAGATCTCTCTCTCTCTTTCTCAAGAAATGGATTTCTCTGTGTAGCCTTGTATGTCCTAGACCAGGCTGCCTTTGAACTCAAAGATCAGCCTTCCTCTGCCTCCCTGAGTGCTGGGATTAAAGGTGTGCACCACTGCACCAGCTAAATACAAAGATCTCAGTGACTTCTTGGCAGGAATGCCCTCTTAAAAAGGAAAAGATGATGTCTCTCAACGCACATACAACTCCAGGAGTTGTGACAATTCAGTGTCAGCATGGTGGTAAACACTGGGATGGAGGGCTGTGCTGGGTTATATGCGCCCCTTGAGATTGTATTAGGATGACCTACGGCCTTTTACCAACTGCCAAAAGACCAGAGCAACACTTTAAAAGACCCACCATACACATAATCCCATCTGACACCTGGCAAAGTTACCATACAATGCCATCACAAGCCGGTCATAGTGGCACATACTTGTAATCTATGACTGGGGAGGATAAGCTACAAATATAGTTCTTACTAGGGACAGGTACTAAGAATATATCTCAAGGCCAGGCATGCCTTTAATCCCAACACTCAAGAGGTAGAGACAGATTGAGCTCTGTGAGTTCCAGGTCAGCTTTGTCTGCATGGTGAGTTCCAGGCCAGCCAAGGATACATAGTAAGCACCTGTCTCAAAAAATTAATAAATAAGTAAGTAAATGTACCTATCTCAGGAAACAAAGTAAAAGGAGTCATCATCAGAGATACAAGGCTTTATTTCCACTGTGAAGTAGAGGTCATTCCTAAATAGCTGTAATTACATATTCCACTTCAAATTTTCAGTTAGAGGAAGAAAGAAGGGTGAAATTGAGAGTGGCTACAGAGAGAGAAGAAAGACTTCCCTATGTGAAAGGAGACAGAGAGGAGACAGTGGAGGGGAATCATTTCCACTTCTAAGTTCTGCCTGATGCTTGGCTGGAGGCGCTGGTTAAAGGGCAGGCGAACATTTTTAATAAGAGAAATATACACGGACATGTTCATAGTAGCTAGAAATAGCTTTAAATATGCACACAGAGAGGGAAGCCCATCAGGAAATGCTTCCTGTCAACTCTCCCAGAAACATGAGACAGAAAATTATAACCCAGCCATGTAGCTCTCTCACTCAAAGATAGGCCTCTCTGAGTTCTTTCATATTTAACTGTTTGTGTGGTGATGTTTCAGGAGACCTCATAATTCCTCATGGCCACTCCTATCTCCTTATGTCTATATTTGGCTGCATTTTTTTGGGGGGGAATGCAAAGTTTTTTACTTTATAGCATTTTTTTTGAGAAAAGAAATATTGAAACACTTGTCTCTTTCATATTTGATGACTTAGATAATGTGTGTGTGTGTGTGTGTGTGTGTGTGTGTGTGTGTGTGTGTGTGTGTTAGTCTGGAGAGGGTGCATGTGTCACAGTACACTATTTGTTCAGAGGACAGCTTTGAAGAGTGAGTCATAGTTCCAGAGATCTAACTCAGGTCTCCCAGACCTCCTGAGCAATCCCCCCAGCTCCCCTTTTATGGTTGACAAATGTTTTTACATTGATTATAGATCTCTGTGGGAAACTATCTACTGATGAAACATCAAATAATATCTCCCAGAAAGACTCCAAGCTATGTCTCCCACCTGCAACCATGCTTTTTGAGAGGAAGATGCACATCATTGATAAAGACAGAGAGCCAACACATTTATAATGAGAATGTGTGTGATTAAATCATTTTACAGGAGAAAAGCCTTGCACTACACATCCAGTTAAGCTTAAGAAAATTGAAGCCTTGAAAGTTAAACTATTTAACCATTTGTAGCAAAGAGGAAACTTGGAAAATAAATTGGTTCCTACCCAGAGATCCTTTCACCAAGAGTGGCTGTTTGTTTCATTGTTTCAATGAAGAGTATAATCAGTTACTAGACAGGTTTAGAAGATTTGAGCTAGCAATCTCGTCACTGATGAATGTTCTGTGGTTTTACCTAGTTAGAATGTAGACAAAATAGAGTTTCATGGATTTAGCCCCAGTAATCTACTCCCTGAGCTAGGCTCCCTCGTCTTGTCACCAATAATTCCATTGTCTTACAAATCAGTTGAGGGATTAGATCATTAGCTCAGAGCCCCTTACTGTAATCCTGCTTTACTAATCCATATGGAGTTCTTAATCTAATAAATTGATAATCAGAATTAACTGTCACTATACATTTTATTCTTATTTAACCAGTAAGAAGAACAAGGCAGAACAGGCAGTTGAGCTTTGGTTTGAGTGTCTGTCTTTTCAAGCAGCACAGTTAAGAGCTGATGCTGCAGCTAATGTGGGGTACCCACCAGAGAACTGCTCAGACATGGGTTGAAGCCAGTAGAAAGTCTTCATTAGCCTGCCGGCGACTACACTGGGTGTTGCGGATACCAGCGTAGCATCAGGCCTTTCTCAGGGCTTTTTTATTCAACCAGATTGTTTCTTCAATTCTTCAGAATTTACTACTCAAAAGTTGGGCTCATCTGGGATTTGAATCTGGGACTCCTTGCACCTTAAGCAAGAATCATAACCCTAGACCAACATAAGGGTGAGCTGTTAAGAAACAAAACAAAGAAAATCAAAACAAACAAACAAAAAAACATTCAGGGTTGACATATTTCAGTTAGCAAGAACAGTTAACCAGAAGCGGAACAACAGAACCCAAACAGCAAGTAGCACAATTAGAGCCATTTTTCCAGAACTGTGGACTTTGGTGAGTTAGGTCTTTGTTTTCCTTTTGACAGGAAGAGCTGTGAGCTGAGTTTTATCGTCTGAAAGGTACTTCCACCATCATGGAATCAGTTGTCCTAAGGTTGGAGGGAGGAGGAGGTGGGAGAACGATGTAAATATAGTATTTGTATATAAAATTCTAAAAGCAAAATTTAATGAAGATCTCAAAAAGAAGTTTGTGGAGGCTAGAGAGCTGGCTCAGCAGTTCAGAACATGACCTGCTCTTACAGAGGACCTCAGTTCAGTTCCCAACACATAGTTTGGATGGCCCACCACTGCCTGTAACTCCAGCTTCAGGGGAATCGAATACCTCTGACTTCCATGGATACACACACATACAATCACACACAATCACACACAGGCACACAATTAAAAATAAAATATATTTCTAAAAAGTTTGTGTCATCAGGTGGCTGAGCAAAAGAGGAAAATGTGGCATGGGGTAGTCAATGTCATTTTGGAGGATCACTTTACACATTCAAAAGTCAAAAAGTGCAAGCTTCTGCCCCCACAATCAGCCAATATCTACAGCCGCTTCACTTGTCAGGGTGCTTGCTGATGATGAGAAATGGCTCCCAGAGGCTCACGTGCCTGAACCCTTGGTCCTCAGCTGATGACCACGGTTTGAGATGGTCATGAAGCCTTTAGGAGGCAGAGTCTTGCTGGAGGAGTTACATCACTGGGGTGGGCTGTGAGGATTCTTAGCTTGACCTCTCCCGTTCTTGCTCTGCTTCTAGACTCTGGGTACAGTGTGAAGGGCTGGCCTTCAGCTTCTTCAGCCACTCTTTTCCTGTCTTGATGTACTGTATCCTCTTTGGATAAGATCAAGTAAACCTTTCTCCCTTAAGTTGTTTTTGTCAGTTTTTTCTTTGTAATGAGAGCAATGAAAATGAAACTACTGCATGGACATCATTTGGAATGTGTGTAGATGGTGGTGTTGTGGTTGTAAACATGTTTTTGTTTTGGTCCCAGGTGGGGAATGTGGGACTGTTTTAGATAGTCCACAGCAGCAGACTATTTGCCTCAAGCAGGCTCTGAGAGGAGCTCTTTGCCAGCTGCAGATAGATTAAATCTGAGGACTCTGGAGAGGGAATAAATACCAGAGCCCAGAGAGTGTGGAGTCTGAAAAAGAACAAAAATGCTCCTGCTTCCCCCTTGCCGCTCCCTGTTGCTGTTGTGAGACAATGAGATTGGGCTGGCTCCAAGGAACCTGATGACCCTAACCAGTAGGAGGTAGCTAGAGAGAACTCCACCCCTTCTCCCCACTAACCTTTCTCTCCTATCTGGTATTGGGCTGTTGGAAGGGATTGGGGTGGAGGAAGAGGCCTAAGAAACCAAAATAAAATAGTCAAAAAGTACGCCAACATGGTGGTGTCTGTCTGCGTAGGGATACAGTTTGACATGATTACAGCCTGCTTGGTCCTCACCGCCATTTTGCTTGCCAGGTGACTGAGAACACTAAGTCATTAAGTGTGGCATGCCAGCTGCTGCTGACAGGATCGCTTCTTAGCTGATATTGGGCACATTCACTGTTTTTGAGAAAGGATGGGTAGGGACATTCCAGTCGGTCATGGCTTACCTTTGTCCAGCTTAGCATCCTCTTGTGTTGGGACATAGGGGATCCCCCTTGCTGACACTTAAGACACAGGTGCATAAGTCCTCTGTGAATAGCATTTCATACAGCCTTGGGACTTTTCTTTGGTTTCTCAGTGACTTTCACTTTTGGGGACCTGTTCTCAGAACACACTGAGACACTGGGAAGACTAGGTTTGATGGTTTTCAACATAGTTTTAGCAATGTTCATCTGTTTAAATAACTTTTTAGAAGTTTTATGTGTGCGCATATGTGTGTGTGTGTGTGTGTGTTTGCATGCATGCACCGTTGTACACATACAAAGAGTCAGTCAGAGATTGAAACTCAGGTCATCAGGTTTCTTAGCAAACACTTGTCTTTTGGCTAACATGAAGAGGGCTAAATTTTGTAGAGTTCTTCCTCTTCATTATATTCGATAACCAGTTGACTGCTACAGTGAATTTCTAAGTCTTCTTTCCGTGTGTGTGTGTGTGTGTGTGTGTGTGTGTGTGTGTATGTGTGTGTTTTTCAGCTATGATGGATGGCTATACAGGCTGTGCTCTGCACAAGGCGCTGGAGCTGGTCAGATGCTAGTGCAGGTTGCCATCAAGACTGTTTTCTGCCCGCCAAGCTTCATGTCTTGAAAGAGGAAGAAGTAGCTAAGGCAGAAATGCTCAGGCTTCTCCCACATGCTATAGTTGCCTTCAGTTTAGTAGCAGTGTGACTTGGCTAGACTCCTGGGTAGGGCTGATGAGTTTAAGGATCAGACCATCACAGTGAAAAAGCGAGATTAAAACAGTGGTTCTCAGCCTTCCCAATGCTGTGACCCTTAGATACAGTTCCTCCTGTTGTAGTGACCTCCAACCAAAAAATTATTTCTGTTGCTACTTCACAGGGCTACTGTTACGGATCAGTATAAATATCTGTGTTTTCCAATGGTAATAGATTTTCCCTGTAAAAGAATTGCCTTGGGAGCACTGAGATCATAGACATGTGCTGCCATGTTCAGCTTGGCGTTGCTGAACATTGGCATGTTCAGCACTTGGATTAAAGAATAGGGGCAATAGTAAGAGGACCCCATATTTGAGGGCAGCTTAGGTAGGGAGTTTGAGGTCAACCTCAGCTGCAGAGCAAGACCCTGTTACAAAACAAAAACAGCCTCTTGTTAGCCCTCCTCCCTACTTTCTTCACAACACACTCCCACTCTCAGCATAAAAACAAGCCCTGGTTTGTTTAGTACTGCTCTACCACCAGAGCATTCATTCTTATCGCTATTTTAATCGTCTTCGAATCAGCGGGCATTTTTGGCAATGCTAAGAGAAAATGTTTCTGTGTAGTTGGATGTTTTCAGAAACATCTGAAACAAAAACAAAGAGGAAAAAAATTAAATTAGCTCGTTTTTATTAAGCACAGCCAAGAACAAAGGAGACTTGATTCTTTTCCCTAAAGGCAATATAAGAGTATAGCAGGGGAGATAAGATATGGAAATAAATGACTACGAGGAAGGGTGGGAAGACTATGTGGAGACAGGCACAGGTAAAGCACAGGCAGGCAGACGAGAAGGGGCCACTTCCTGTTCTGGGCTGGGAAATGGGACATCAAAGAGAAAATATTGGCTATTAGACAAGTGTGTCCATTTCCAACATTTTATTGTAATCAATTTAACAGGCAAAAACACAAAATTAAAATCTGTGAGAATTATTCGGAACCTGGAGAAGATAAATGGCTGAAAATTGAAGTTAAAAAAGAAATTGGACTACATCTGTGCAGGTTTTTTTTTCCTAGGTGTCTGGAGAAATGGCTCAATGGTTAAGAGCACCTGCTGCTTTTCCAGGGGACCAGGATTCAATTCCCAGGGCTTACATGTGGCTCTCAGTCATCTGTAAGTCATCTAGTCTCAGGGGATTGGACACCGTCTTCTGGCTTCTGTGGGCATACACATGATGTATAGACATACATGCTGGCAAAAAAACCCATACACATAAAAATAATAAAGAAAATGTCCAGAAGAATATTTTAAAAATTAACAAATTTTCTAGAAAGATACATCATTAGTACCTTGTTTTCCCCTAACTGTCTTTATAGCACATACATAAATCACTATAGATAAAAACACATTGTTATATATGTTGGTGCCCACATCAGGTCATAAAATTTTATATGTCAATGAATTATAAAGATATAACAACATTGTAAATATTTTATTGGTTCAGTGAAGCTCTATAAAGGTGAAAGCTTTACAACTTTCTGCAAGGTGTATGTTCCATTAGAGTAGTAAAAAGGTAAGTAAAGCAAAAAGTTATGGGTGGCATCATCAGAGAGGAGGGACTTAATTAAAGTTTTAAGAGATAGAAACAGAATGTCCTTCAAGGGCAAACTAGGTATACGTTTTACATGGAAAAGAAAGCTACGCTACCTCCATTCTAACGCTCAAGTTTTCTTTCGGGAGTAAAATTGAAGGAATGTCCTAAGTGAGGTCAAGTGTGACAGAGACAAGTTCCCTGAGCATCTAGCTAGGGAATTCCCAGCATCTCTTGCAATTAGACATAGCTGGGTGACTGAGTTTTAGTCGAAGTTGCTGTGAGCTAGACACCTCCAGGACTGGTCCACAACTCTTCCCTCTAGGTCTTTTCCTTTCTCTCTTGTGATATAAATAAATGCTGAACCCTGAGAAATCGTGTGCTGAAGATGAAAAGAGCCATGAGATTGAGTGGGTTTATGTTATGGCAGAGGAGAGGATCTTCCACCAGGAACATTCACTGTGGACTGTATTTTTTAAGGGCCTGGTGTGTGTGTGTGTGTGTGTGTGTGTGTGTGTGTGTGTGTGTGTGTGCCAGCATTCTGTGCCCTCAGAGGCCAAAAGATGGCATCGGATTCTCAGAAGCTGGAGTTACTAGTAGTTGTTAATCACCAGATACGGTGCTAAGAACTGAAGACAGGTCCCCTGGAAGAGCGAGACCCACACACTCAACCCTGAGCTGTTTCTCTAGCCCTGATTTTTTAAAAACTGTATTTGAGCTGTCAAACTTTGGGGGTTTTTGTTGTAGTAAATAGAAAATGAGTTTTGGGCTATTTAATGTTTATTATTAGCCCTATGAATTATCACAGCCGTATTATCTAACCTGCTATCACAAATAATAAGACACAGACACCTGTTAGATTTTATAATTGTTTTATTTACCGTGGGTCAGGCAGATATCCCTACCTATGCTGTCTAAATCACCTCACCATCCATCTCCCATCCCCCATC